CACTTCTGTCTATTAGAGCAATTAATTGGATTGGTCCAGTTCAAGGGTGTTTAAGGAGATACTGATCCTGTTCAGTCCGGTTTGTTAGAGGTTAGGCTCGGTTTAGCTTTGTTTGAGGGGATCTTGGTCCGATTCAACTTGATTTAGGAGCTTTTAAGCCTAGTTCAGTCTAGTTTAGGGGGTTTTAAGCTTGGTTCAATCGAGTTTAAGGGGTTGTAGGCTTGGTTTTGTCCGATTCAAGGGGTTTTTAAGCTCGGTTCAGTCTAGTTCAATGGGTTTTAAGCCTAGTTCAAGGGTATTTAGGCCTGTTTCAGTCCAATTTTGAGGGTTTTTTGGCCCAGTTCGATTTGGTTCCAAGGGATTCTAGTATGATTCAACCGATCCTAAGATGTTTTGGTTTGGTTTGACTTGGTTCAATGGTGTTCAAGGCCAGTTTGGGTTGGATCGGGGATATTTGTGTTATCCTCAATATTTCATATTAATTTTGTTAATAAAAAAATAAATTAAAATTATTATATATATATTTATAATGGACAATATGGACAAATTATATTATTAAGTTTATTGTTTGGTTACATACACTACATGTGCTAGAATGTGAAACTATTAAATTAGATATGTAGTAAATTGATTATATCTTATTATACAAAAGTCAAAAAATAATAAAGTTAATTTTATATGAAATTAGACTCAAATAACTTTATCTTAATATATAATTTGTCATATATATTATTTTACATTAAAGCAGTTTATTATATCAATATCACATATTATTTTCTAAAAAAGTCATTTTTGAAATCTACAAGATATAAGTTTTAAATAGTAAAACATAATTTATATTATAAATAAAATTCTAAGTTAAATTTATTTGTAAACTAGACATGTTGAGCTTTAAATGTATATATCATATGCACATTTTGCATTTATAGATTGATAGATATAATGTTTTAAAGTGAGCCATTCTGCTAGGTCATACTATCAGCAAATAAAATGAGTATATCATAGTTTTTTTATCATATCTAAAAATATAAAAATTAAATTTCTACAAATCTAATTTTGAATAAAATTAGACGTTTAAGTTTTTCAAAAATATATAATTTATTATTTTTGAAGACAAATTCAAATTTTTAGACAATTTTGAACTTGACCAACAATTTTTGTCAAAAATAATTTTACACTCTAGCATGTCATTGAAAATTATTTCTCTCAAACAGTGTATAATAATTCAATAGTTCTTTTTTTGTTTGAAAGTACACTCATCGTGGAGTATCTAGAATTTTTTGAAGGATTTTTTAAAAATTGAAAATATTTGTTTCAAAATTTCAAACTAAGCCTATGTACTGTTACTATTGACAAATGATTTTGTCTTTCATGAAGACCAACATCTCTCCAACGTCTCTTTGGTGTTTTTGCCTATAAAAGAATCATAGGTTGAAGGGAGAAGGATACAAGAACAAGTTCTCAAAACCTCCTCAATCTCTCTGTAAAATTTTTGTGCTATAGTGTTTATTACTAGATCAAAGAGTGCATATAGCAAATTGTTTTATTCTTGAGAGTGCCTCTTTGAAATGAGATTATTTTTGTACATGAGTAGCTAACTCTACTTAAGAGAAATTGCTACATTTTTACTTTATCTTCATTAGCATTTGTATTAGTATTTAAAACTCACTAAATCAAATGTTTTGTTATCAGGATTTCTTGCCTTTGTCAAGTGTAAAGGACTTTGTTTGTACTCGGGATTTCTAACATCTGTCAAGTGTAAGGGATTTAATAGAACCTTGATTGGTTAATGTTCGATGGAGTGGACATAGACTTGGGTATAAAATGGAACTACTATAAAAGGGTTGTCATCTCTTATCCCTACTCCCTTTACTTTACTTAAAATTGTTTTATATTTATTGTTTGATGAATTGTATAAGTTTATTTTACTCAATATTTTTATTATTATTTTTATTTTTTCACACGCTTAACTTCTATAAAAAATATTCAATTTACCCCCTCTTGAGTTGTCTTTTGGGACAATAATTTGATACCGATTCACTTGGTTTAAAGGTTTTTATGCAAGATTAGTTCATGTGTTTGGGTTGCTCTAGGTTCATGTGTTAAATAATGACCCTCGAAATACGTGCTAAGAGTTTAGGAGGGAACTGAGGATTGGTTTAATGAATCGAGTCTTTAAATAATTTCATTTTTGAATCTAGTTTTGATTAAATATGTATCACTGTGGTTGCAAATATCCTGAGAAGACACGTTTCGATATCTGAGGGTAACTAGAGATTTGGGTTCTGGCCAGTTCTTTACAATAAGTGATAATATTTTCTCTATGCAAGTATTTAATTCTGAATATTATTTATTTGTTTTGAAATGTGTGACTAGTTTTGGAAATTAAATTCTGGGACAGGTATTCGGTTTGTTTAAAAATATTCAGTGAGCTTTTGAATTCCTTGATTTGCTACTATGCTTTTATTTTATGTATATATATATATATATATATTTGGAAAATTTTATGATGAGAGTTGTTTCGAGTTCAGTTTAGACGGACGCGATTGTGCTCGAGCACTATATGCCTTATTTGTATTCTGATTTTGATTCTGCCTCTGGCTCTAGTTCTGGTTCTGATTCAGTATGAGATCTCAATATACGACATGTGATATTTGACATGTATGATATGTGGTATATGTTGTCTCTGACACGATACGCTCTATCGTGAGATGTGATTCTAGTTTCGGTTCTGGTTCTCTAATACTCTCATATTTTTTTTTGAATATGTGAAGCATATATATTTTATGTATGTAGGTATAAAATATATGTATATGTATATATGGATGCATGTATATATGTTTGCATAGATACATCTACATATGTACGTAAGTACAAAATATGTACATGTGTATGTATATATTTATCATATATACATATATATGTGTGTATATGCATGTAGGTATAAAATATGTATGTGTATGTACATATATTTTATACATATGCATGAATGTATAAAATATTTATGTGTGTGCATGTATATATGTATGCATGTAGACATATAGATATGTACGTGTGGAATATGTATGCATGCATACATACATATATACATATACATATGCATGTATGTACAAAATCTGTGTGTGTGTGTGTATGAATGAATAAAAATGTATGCATATATACAAACACTTTTGTATATAAGTATAAAATATGTATGTGTGTGTCTCTGTATATATGTTTGCATATATGCATATATACATATATATATATATGTATGTATAAAATATGTATGTGTGTATGTATATATGCATAAATACATATATACAAAATATACTTATATGTATATATATAGTTATTTATTTATTTATATACATATATATATAATTTTTGTATATGGGAAACTATTTTTAAAATTTTGGTTTATGACTTAAAATGGTTTGGCTTGTTTTTTGAATCAAAGTAAACCATAATTTTATAAAACTTTTTAAATCAAATCAAACAAAACTAATTTATTAAAATATATAAATTTATCTTTTTGAAATAATATTTTTAAAATAAATATTATGAAAATGTTTTAAAAATTTATTTTTCCAGCATTCAATCCATTGCAAACATATGAAAAAAGAGAAAAATCCATTGAAAACAAATATTAAAATATTTTTTCAATTCATTTTTTTGTTATTTAAATCTGTCAAAAAATATAAAAAATTAAAAATATTTTGTTTCTGACAAATATTTCCGTCAGAAAGAAATATTAAATTATTTTTTAAATTTGTTTTTCTAATGCTTCAATCCATGAAAAAATATAAAACATTTGAAAAAAATTGTTTCTAATAAATATTAAAATAATTTTTTGAACCCATTTTTCTAGTGACTCTAGTTGAGAGAAAAATGTAAAAAACTTTTTAAAAAATTTAGTTCCGATGAATTATTCCATTGGAAATAAATATTAAAATAATTTGTTTGAATTCATTTTTTCGACAGTTTCATCCACTGGAAAAATGTAAATGAATTTGAAAAATATTTGTTTCTAATGGATATTTGCATAGGAAACAAATATTATAATATTATTTTAAAAAATCTTTCCAACTATTTCTTCTGTTGGAAAAATATTATTTTCTTTTTCTTTGACAAACTTTGCCAACACAAAAAATTTTATTCCGAATTAATAATTTATATTCCTTTTTTTTAACAAAACTTTCTTTCAAAACTTATTTTTTTAAATAATAAAAAAACCTTACTTTTTTTGACAAAAATGTTTTACCAAAAATATATAAATTAATTTTAATATTATTTTTCGATGGATATATTTCTATTGTAAAACATTTAAATTTTTTTAAAAAGTAAAACCATTTTTAACGAAATGTTTCGGTTGGAAATTCGTCAAAAATATTTTTTATAGTGGATTTTTAACCTTTCCGTTGGATTTTTCCACTGAAAATATTTTTCGTCAAAATATTCTACGGAAAAGGGTTGACTTTTGCATTTGTCAGTAATTTTTTGTTAGTAATTCACCTATTTCTTGTAGTGTAATGTATTATAAGTTTTTACCATATGAATTTCTAAAGTCTGAGCTATTTGAATGAGAAAACTAATAAATAAACCCAACTAAATTTGAAGTCCAATTGGGATATTTAACTTATTAGTCATTTTCTTGCAAGAAAAATAAGATATTTATCATATTCTCACTGTGATTGATGGGTTTTCGGACGGCTAGTGTTATCTATAGTTGATTCCAGAAAAATATCAACAAAAGAAAGAGTAATCAAAATAAAGAAATTGGCGGTTGGAGGGGATTCTGTGAATTTTGTTGTCATTATCTAAGAAAATACCCATAATCCATAAAATAAAAGGACAATTTGGGGCACGATTCAAGCTTTTCTAATGCTCTATGAATGACAAATTATAATGTCATTTGATTTTGGGATTTCAACACCTTCATAATGCCAAAATCTTTTAAATCAATTGATTTTGATATAACAATATGACTGCTTTTTTATCATAATAATGCATTTATTCAATTAACAAACCTAGCACACAAAAATAAAATCCAATTATTCAAGCATTAAAACAGTACATGCCAAATCAGGGATAGGAAATCTAAAGTAAAAGCCACACACATCATATCCAAGCATACATGTTTTCCAAAGACGACATGACAACAAATACAACAAAACTCGCACTTATACGGGAATTGGATTAAGGTACAACAGCTCCATTTTGTCTTTTAGTATCTGTTGATGAGTAAATGCTTCCCCATCCTTGTAAAGAGCATCCACTGATCGCGTAATATTTAGGATTCTCATAAGCAGATGCATGGAGACTGTCGTTGGCCTAAGGATTTCTTCGTTAATATCCTTCCATCCATCATCTATCCTTCTATATATTTCATCAATGGCATCCTGCTTTGAAAGGTCAAACTCCTTCATATAGCATTCAAGCGCACCAGCAATATGTCCCCTTTCTTGCTCTCTCTGCACATATGAAATGGTTTGAACCAATCAAGAAACTTGAAAGAATCATATGTATAAGTTTCGTAAACATTGCACTTAAATAGTATCAATTTATATGATACCTCACTGCTTGCTAAGTCATTGATGAGGCGACCAACTATGGCAGAAGCAACCGCGATTCTTGGATTAGCTCGCAGCCAGTCAAATGCATCGACTTTTGCAAATTCTCCCATGCCTACAAATGAAGCAAGGAGCAAGGTGCCCGTGCTGGTTGCTATCCCATTGGCAAAGTACTCTTCCATTGTTGGCGCATAGCCATCCTCGACCCATTTGATCTCCAGCTCATAAGCTCTAGCTAGATCTTTGAACTAATAATATACACACAAAAATCATGTTAGTAAACTACCAAACTTTGGGAATAAACTTGGATTAGGTTCCTCTCTAGTCATGCTAGATAACTGAAGATCTCCTAAATCTGTAAGTAGAGAAAGGGAGAGGGTTCAATGTATCATATTCTTTGTCTTAAACGGTCAACACAATAAGACCTTCCTTGTGTAGCCAGTGGAACCTCTAACTCCTCGTGCAAATTGGCAAGCACCCCAAATACTAAAGTCAAATATTCTGGAAGATCAACAGCGTCCCACCTACATACAGATTTATATATGAGTAAAATATAGAACATATGCCCCAAAATTTATTAAACTTAACTTATTTTTCTTAAATATATGGTAAATTTATTATATTTTTCAAAGAGTAATTATATATATAATTAATAATTTAAGACTTGGTAATTATGTGACAACATACCTCTCTACCGCGTTAGTATATTGTTTCAATTCTTCAAATGTACCATATGCATCATAGGTATCATCTAGAAGCGTCATCACCATGATTACTTTAGCTAGAATTACCCGTGCAAATGAGTAATGCGGCTCAAAATAGGCAAATGAACTCCAAAAATAACACTCAGTTGGCCTTTTTTGCATAAGGAAGTTTAGTAGGAATTTCCATTTCATTCCACCACCTACATGGCACAATAAAGCAAACGTCAAACATGTTAAGTTTAATATATATATGCACTATCACTCAGTCTTTGTTAATTTCTAACCTTGAGACATCACAAATTCTTGCTTGTGCAATAGCTGCAGTAGATTGTAATCAACCTTGGCAAACCTGAGTAATAGGTCATCCCTTGAAGGATCCTTTTCGTAGAATGATATGTAGTGTCGTGCTTCCAATCTAGGCATGCTCCTATGGAGGCAACGATGCAAAGCACGTTTTACTTGGTTTGCAAGGTTAGGGTTTAAACTTGGTAGCATCAAGAGGAGGTGGGTTTTGCTAAAAGCAAGAGCTTCATCTAGAATATCTTCTCCATGTGTCCCTACATATGCTGCTTCATACAAGCTCAGCATTCCTGTCACATCCTGAATTAAGGACTCCTTGAATTTCCCGTTTGTACCTTTGAATTTGTTGAATACACCTAATTCATCCATGTAGACATATTAATTCATGTGAGATTAAATGCATATTCAATCATTTTAACCTTAACTCAAACCTATAATTTAAGTACAAGATGCATGTATGCATGCAAGATGAGGGATTTACTAGAAGGTATTCTGTAACCATGTTGTCTGAATATGCGAAACTGAACTGAAGTAGTGAACAAATTAGAGTTATCAATACTGTCATCTTGAAAATTAGCAAACATTAATTGAAGAAGCTCTTCAATCTCCTCTTCAAAATGATAAGATACACCAAGACGTTCGAGTGTGTTGATAAGAAGAATTTTCTCCACCAATTTATTACCGCTGCCTACTAGCAGTATATTCCTCACTTGTCCTTTCAATAATTCAACCTCCTTGGCATATGCTTTGCATTGCTGCAAAAGGACATTCAAATGCAAGGTCAATAAAAAGGGAAAAATTATATTTTTGGTCTTAGTATTCACATCAAAAATGCCATTTTAGTCCCCCTAGTTTTATTTATAAGGTATTTAGTGTTATAAATTATCAATTGCCACACAATTGGTCCCTGATTAATATTTTATATGAACAAAGCCAATTGCTATACATGAAATCTCTAATATCTACAAATGCGACAAATTGAAAAGGGTCTCTAAATTTTAATAAAGTAATAATAATCTTTCAGTACATCTTTGGCTATAGCGAGTTCAAATATCAGAGTTAGCAAGTTAATTTAATAAAAAAAAATTGAAACTTTCAGTGTGTAAAACTAACAAGAGACCAAATTTATTATGCTTTTTAAAATTTGAAGCTAAATCTATTGCAATAAAAATATTTTGTTGATAAACCTTGAATGAAATTATAGGAGCTAATATATGATTTTTCACATACATATATATATACATATACATATACATATATATATATACAAGCAAAATAGTTGGGGAAGTTCATATTCATTTTCAGTATTCTTTATTTGTCTAAAGTTAGTTTTCATATACTGTTCATCTAAACCCTAATTTCAGCATCGTGTTTTATGTGCAACTTTTGACATTCTTTCGTCCTCTTTGTGTGAAGAGTTTGCAGGATCAGTGGCAGGCGTGCTTAATTAGACTTTTGTATTGGATTTATGTAGTTTGTTCTATTTCAAACAATATATAGTTAGATAATTGTAAAACTTTAGTAGTAATTCCCACTTGTTAATTAGGATACTGCCGATGGTGCATGATTTAATGGGAATATTGGTATTTTGTATTAAGATTTGATTGGATGAACTTTAACACTCAATTGTGTTGTCTTTTTATGTTCCTTATTGCAGCACTATTATTGAACAATATTTCATAGTTGCACCTAAATTAGCGAATTTGTTTTGTATTACAAAAATTGTTATTTATTTGGGCTTAGAAGTTATTCTTAGCCTAAATTCACCAAATGCCCTGATAATACAATGGAAGTATAAAAATGTACCGAAGTGTACCCATACTAGATGATATTGAAAATAATAATGCCAGTATATATCCAAAAGTAAGATTTTGCTTTTAACATCTAAAATTCACAAATATTGATACTGTAACAAAATATATAGGAAAGGGCAAACAATTGAACTGCGTTTGCCTAGAAGTAGCAACCAAAAGTATTGTACATGAATTCATTAATTTTGGAGTGGGACAAAGGAAAAGGAAAAAGAAAGTTACCTCTTTATCCAATGTAAATGAGATGAAATTAGCACCCCATAAATTTGGTGAAAGTTGGCTAAACGGCGAACAACCTCTCCGTTAGGAAGCGATATTAACTCCAATACAAAATAAGCTAGCTTATGTGAGTGTGTGCGAGAAAAGGCAACTATGGAAAAAATAGGTTGTCGGTGTAGTATGTATATATAGAGAATGACACGCACAAACTTGTGTTACGTGGGATCTTCTCATCCGTTGGTCTAGGCAGTATAAGAGACTTGACATCAAAACTTGGCCGTTGCTTGGCTGCCCCATGTTACTGTGACAAGCAGTAAAAACAAATCAAAATAAAAACAAAATAGCCTTACATGTAGTTTTTATGTGACCCATAAGCTATAAACAAAATATATGAAAATCCTTCCAAGAAAATATATGCATTAAAATATCAAACTATTATTCTGAATGAAGAAAATATTTATTCAAAAAAATTAAAATAAAAAATAAAATCAATTAAAAAAAAACAATGAGTATGAAGAACGGAACTGGAAGAATCTTAAAAATGAGTCTAAACTTTTAATTTGAAACTTTATTTATAATTTATACTCAAAATGGATTACCTATATATAAGTTGGATTAGGTTAACTAGAAAATTTTTAAATTTAAATTTGAAATTTTGTTAATAAGTAAAGATTTAAACATCCATAAAAAAGGGGAAACTTATTTGTTGGCCTTTAAATTTAAAATAAGTGTTATATTAATTCTTCAAATTAAAAATAAGATATTTTTATCTCTTAAATTTAATATAAATTTTTTAGGTAACAAATTATTATTCCACAATTTTTAACTATTCTTCAATTTCTTAAGATTTGTATGTAAAAGTTAATAAAACAAATTTACCAGTAAAAAAAAAAATAGACAAGCCAAATTAAAGGAAAAATTAGGTACAACCAATCAAAACTTAAAAAAAAGAAAATACAAGAAAGTGCAATCCAACAACCAGAAGTAAAGTCCTCTCCATTTGTCTGTACGTGGCACGTGGTGGTAGGTGATTGTGGGGCATGGTTAGTTTGACGCAGGTGCTATCCCAGTGGACAGCACCCCAGTAATTTTTATTTTTTAAATTTTTTTATTTCATATTTAATTAAAAAAAATAGATATAATATTAAATATCAAATTATTTTATAAAACAATTAAATTATTTTTTTATTTTTTAAATTTAAAAATAAAACACAAAAAACTAATTTTTATTTTAAAATTTAAAAATAAAACACAAAAAATTTAAAAATCTAAAAAATTTAACATTAATATACATAATCAAAATAAATATTAAAAACTTAAGCAGTTAATTTTTATTTAATTAAATAAATTTAAAATAAAAAATAAAAAAAATTAAATTAAATACACACGTACGCTGCTGGCACTACCCCTGCTGAGGTAACACAGTATCAAACCAGCCGTGGGACATGGCAGAAACGTGGGGTGCACAGTGACGTGTCACTGTCAGGTGTGGTCTGCTCTTCCATTTTCTTCAATAAAGTTAAAAGATTCCTTGGCCGAAACGACCAGAGACATCGAATCTAGTACTGTTATTTCGTGTAAGTGGTTTAGTTGCTTTAATTTAATTTCTTATTTTTTATTAATTTTGTATTCATGACAAGATTGTATTTGAATATCTATTATTTTGTTATTTTAATTTAATTTGTTATTTTTATTTATTATTTATTTAATATTAATTATGTTTGTACTTTGCAAAATTATATATGTGTGTGTTTAAATTTTTTATACATGTTAAATAAACTTTTCACTTTTACTTTTATAGAATGGAATAAATGACGGCACATGATGCTATTGGTGCTGCTCTATTTCACCTTTTTTTTAATCACATTTTTCACGTTGGATTTAAAAATTAATAATAATAAAATGTTGGGTTGTGTTTGGTTTTTTCTTTAAATAATTTATTGGGAGAATAAAGTGCTCAGAAGCAAAATTATATTTTTAATTCTGCTACTGCTTGGAACAACTGAATCTGATTCCAGCATGGCTTCCCTAGGAGATGAGAGCAAAGGCATCATAAGTATGTTCCTTCGCTCCTCCAAGCGTTTTTTTATTCCTGACGATCCAAGGAATTAGATCCATTTTATCTCCACACATAATTGTGCTTTCGACTAATCTTGCTGCATGAGAAGAGTTATCGATCCCGATTCTGTGATTCCAGTAGATTTAGTTTTCGAGTGTAGTAGTTAGTTATTATTGTTTCTTGTTGTGTTAATTTGTTTTTGTTAGCACATATAGAATTTGAGTTTAAGAATTTTTAGATGTTAATGATTGTATTAAATTTCTAGAAATTTGTATTAGACTTTAGTAAGATATTAAGTTTAATTTTACTTTGTTATGTTATAATTCTGAGTATTTGACGTTTGCGGGATTGGGATTATCCTAACTCTAGTGTCGATCACGGATTTGACTTTCCGAGTTGTGACATAATATATATTCGAATTTCCTACGCAACGACATTAGTAAATTGGTCAGCAAATTTGCTTTTTTGATGTGTTAGGGGGTGTGTTGCCGCCCAATTATGAACACAACATTTCATTACTGATGCAAATCTTGCATTAGTAAAAAAATAATTTTCTAATTCAAATAAATATTAATATTTACATTGAATTACTAATGTAGTTTTTAATTTATCGACACAATATATTTTTAAATAGTTTAAGATTTATTCTATTTTTTAAATAATTTAAAATTTTTAATTATATTTGTTTTACTTTATCGACACATGTATGCATTGTAATATAAAATATTTTACTTTTTAATAATTTTTATTTTTTATTTTTGTTTTATTTTACTTTACCAACACCCCCCATGTTGAAAATTAAATTATATTTTTTGTTACCCAATTTATCAACGCAAATTTACGTCAGTAAATAAAATAAATTTTATATGTTTTAATTTACCAACGCAACGATTGCGTCAATAATTAGATTTTTTTTATTAAATTGATTATTAATATTAAATAATAGTATTAACTATTGTAATTTATATTACAAAAAAGTAAATATATGTATACATGCACACATATAAAAGAATAAATATATATATATACATATATGTGTGTGTGTGTGTCGTGTGTATATCTATTTATATATGTATATGTGCGTGTGTGTGTGGTACTTTTTATTTGAAAGCAGCATATATCCCAACAATCCCAAGTCATGGCAATTAAGTGGAAAAACATGTGAAGCATCTTCTTAGCATCCCAATCTGCAATTGCTGTCCGGTACATCATTGCCCCTGTTCACACCACCAAACCAATCAGTGAATAATATTTTCTATTTATGCTGTATTTTTCCTTTTTTTTCTAAAGGATAATACCGATGCAAGTATTATGTGTTGGTAAAAATAACTATGAGTTATTTTTTTATTTCCCAAAAAATCATCAATGCAAGTGTTGTGTTAGTAATAATAGCTATTGCTTTTTTTTTTTTTTGTTTCTTTGAAAATTACCAACACAAGGTTGTGTCAGTAATTGCATCGGTAATTTTTTTACTTTTACCAACGTAATTGTGTGAAGCAATTGTGTATCGATAAAAATAGTTATTACTTTTTTTATTTCTTAAAAAATTACTGACACAACCCTTGCGGTACTTGCATTGGTAATTTGAAATTAAAATATATTTAATTTATTATTACAGACACAATTTTGTATCCGTTAAAAAAATATTGTTATTTATTTTTTATTTTCTAAAATTTACCTACACTTGCTTTGCATCCAGAATTTTAAAAATTATTTTTTTTTCAATATATTACCGTTGATAATGTGCATCAATAGTAATAATTTTTCGTTATCGATAACCTGAGCACCGGTCACTTTGAAAGGTAATAAAAGTTGTTAATTTGAGATTTGAGAGCTTTTGTATCCTTGCAAAATGAATGCAAAAAAATCAAAGTGGGGGACACATGTAAAACTTCAAACTGTTACACGGGAGACTTTTCTTCATGAAAAATAAATAAATGATAAATTAATGGTAGCCCTGATTAAAAACTTGGACATTGGTAGGGTTACATTACTAAGTGACAAAAGATGTTGATCTGATTTCCGAGAACTCGTGTCCTCGTGCAATGAATGCTGAAAAAATCCAAGCAAAGTGTATCACATCACGAAGTTGTTTGTTTTTATGAAAAATTAAGCGACAACTTAATGGCAACCTCAATATTAA